GGTAGCTCTCTGCAAGTAAAGCTAGAAGTCATTAACCAGGGCTGCCCTGCAAACACCAATCAGACTCTGGTGGCCAAATTTGGCAAAGCTTCCCTAGACTGCTGTCATTAGCATTTCCACTCGAGCAAAGAAAAAGAGTCCTTATACCTTCCCACTCACTCAGGCTGATGCATGGCTATTTTTGTCACAAAAATATCTTCCAACTCTTCTTCATACGTTTCCTCCTCTCAACCCTCGAGCTGCTGCCACTGCATGAGTGCCCATCAGATGTTCACTCTTCAGTCTGGAGGCGTGAGGAATTATCTGCAAGGGCAAATGGATTACGGAGAGAATAGTTTTCCTTCCCTGACATCTCTATTTTCTCATCAGAGGCTCAGGCGACTCGGTGCCTTGGCTGAGGACATCTGGTTGTATGAAATACTACAGCATACACCTGTCTCCTGGCAGGCATGTGCACACACAGGTGTCGCGTGGCATTAGATTTGCTCAGCCATCAGAGATGCAGTTTGACATCCCCCTGGGGACAAGCTATAACTTTCTTCATGTTAGAACATACTGGAGACTTGAGGCCAATTTTGTACATTTGTTTCTTTTTTTCTGATGCTGATCAAAAACGTTTTTACCGTTGTCAGTGGAGTGGTTTTATCTAGTAATATCAGCATTTGATGCTACATAACATCGAAAAGTGGGACATGGAAGAATGGCCAATTGGCTGGAGAATAGCTGTGTTATCTTACAGATAAAAACTAAAGTAGAAATTCTGGCTCTTTTGTTGCTATTGGCTTTCCAGTGATGTTATTGTGCATCAGGCTTGCATGCTAGATGATGGAACAGGCAGTGCATTTTTAATCTGGTAAATAATCTGATGTCCCAGAAACCTTCTGCAGAATGAAAATTAATAAGACTTTTCTGATCATTTCTAAATGAACATCTTTCTTTAGCTTTTTTAAAGCGCCTATTGCTATACTGCCTGGATGCCAACATAAATAATCTTTTCTCCAGAGCATCTTCATAAGACTACAAACATTTGTGGAAATAAAGAAAATAAACCTTGTTATTGTCCAAATAATCACTCATTTATTGATGGAGACAAGTATGCACATTTTTCTTGCTCTCTGGTGATTAGATTATGATAAACTGTGACATTTAGTGGTAAACTTGATATGGTTGGTTACATAGAGCTTAAAAAAGTGGCTATCCAATTATTCTTTCATATGCTGGAGGAATACATTAACTACCTGTGAAGGGTATTGCAATGGTTGTGAAGCAAACAGCACCCACTTCTCTAAGTGGCTGTGACAAATGCAAAGGTCACATATGTTTCCTGGCCCATCAATATTATTTTTGTTGTCTCCCTTTGCTGTCCCATGTTCCAGCAAAACCTTAAGCTCAAGTCAAAATGGTAATAAAGACTTTGCATTGACTGAGTAGAGGATTAATGTATAGACCTCTGGGCATGCAGGAGAAAGGCAGTTTCTGGTATACTAGACTCCACATAAGTTGAGAGCTAAACATCCACCCAAAACACTGCTTGGAAAGAGCTCACTAATGGATCCTAAAGAAAATCCTCCAGAGGGCTCCTTTCTTTAGTTAGATCTGAAGTTTCTACTTTTTAACCCAAAACAAGGACAAATTTGCAGACATGCTGAGTTTGTGATGAGGACTGCTGGAAATAAACTGCGCAGTTTTCAAAACCAAAGCACCAAAATTCCTGTGAGGAATAAATCTCTCTTAGCCACACTGAATTACATTCAAAAAAGAGCAGCAAAGCAGCTGGAATCCAACCTCTTTCCTTTGGGGATAGCCCCAAATCCTAGCCTATGAGATACCACCAAAGATCTCCCAGATCTGTTGTCATGTCAAAGATTAACTGTGCATCATTACCCATCTTGACATTGCACACCCACCCTTTCCTGCTGCGATTGGCAGATTGTCACTGTCGGCAGATGCTCACAAGACTGTATTTCCCAGCAGCTATGAAAGGATGACTAAACCCCCAGGAACGGAAGGGAGACACCCCTGGACATGAGTCTCTGTTTTGTCTAGATAACTTCATCTTCACAGTATAGGTCCTTTGAGAAAACAAACATCCAGTGACAGGCAATCCTCCAGCTTTATGAGACATTTGACATTTTTCTCTTCACAGGTTCTACTTATTTCCCAATGACTCTTGTTCATTGAACAAAGTCATCTGTATCGTCAGGAGTCTTCTCTCATGAAACATGAATTTTAGAATGCAACAGGATCTTGGCAGAAGCGATAAGGCATCTGGGCCAGTCAAGGAGTTAAACCATCCAAACAAGGTGACTGGGATTAGGAAAGAATTCAGCCCCTGAGGGAGAACGTGTGGGACAGACTCAAAAGATAGCATGTAATTAAATTCTTGGCCGCATGTATGCAAGGTTTAGAGGAACACTTTCCTTTGTCCTTCTCTATTCCTTCCCCTGGGCAAAGATCCTGCACGTGTGTTTGTCTTCCTTGACTGGTGCTCTGAGCCAGGTGAGTGGGGGCTGCTCTGGGCAGACCTAAGGCTTGAGGGTATTCTATGCATTCTATAATTCTATGTATTTGCCACTTCCCCAGTTGTGTTTGGTGTTTATACCATGCATGGCACCCGAAAGTTAAGGTTCGTATAGAAATGAAGGCCCCTGGCTCCACGCGCACCATCTATTCCTGGCCTCCTTGCTATGTCCCCGCTCCCCCTCTTCCTCCCTTCTGCAGGCAGCTCACTGCCTGCGGCACTGCAGCCTGCGGAGCTGCAGGGATCCTTGACTAATAACTGAACACACTCAGCTCCCTTGCTGTTTCACCACCTGTATTCCCCAGCCTTCAGCCTAGCAACTGGAGGATCATATATCACCCTCTGTCTACAGGGAACTGCCTTTACTCACGCCTGTGCCTCTGCTTACTTGAGGCTTCCTCAGTTTCCAGGCTCCCAGAACAAGCTCTGCTTTCTGCTGCCTGAAGTCTGCACATTCCTTCCTATGCTCAGCATTTCCTCAGCAGGTCATGCAGCCTGTTTGGCTTTTACCTGCAGTTTGCAGAAACTGCCTTCTCCTCTGGGGTAGCAAGGGAGATCTGCTAATCAGCCTGGGCTGAACCCCTTGCAAAGTAAAGCTGCTGCCTTTTGAGTTTTCATGTCGGCCTGAGGAGGTAAACCCCAGCACGAAGCCAGCCAAGGAAGCCCAAATGTTCTGATGAGAACCAGCAAGGCAAGGAACTGCAAAAGATTTGAAAATTTACTTCCCTCCTAACTTCAGTAACTCTTTCTGGCTTCACAGACTCAGGGGAATAAGCATCAATAGCAGGCGCACTTGCTGTGGATGAGGATTCGAGTCCTAAATCCCAGCAGTTCCCTGCAGTGAAGGACTGCTGAGCAACAAGGTGTGTGATAGAGCAGAAATCATTTCATATCATAATAAGGCACTTTGTTGTCCTAGGATATCTCATGCCCCCTGCCTCTGCAACCAGCAGGTGCAAGGGCAGCTCTTCTCCCCATGCCCTTGAGTGTATCACCAGAAGTGCATCTTGCTGAGGTAAGACACTGCTGCTATGGCAATTTGGGGTCCCACTAAGAGCAAGAAGCTACCATTCCTCACAAGTGATGGCAGTTGTCTCTGCTCGTCCCTTGATACAGCCCTGAATATCCTATCAGTGCAATTTCCACTACCCCACAGCACATGCTACCCTGGAAGTATCATTGAACATAAGGCATAAGAATTCTGTTACTATATTTATTGTTCATGCACTTTGGGTTTGCATGGATATGATGTACAGTGCTGCTCTGCAGCACGGCATAATTTCTAGCACAGAATATAGCAGCATATTGCAGCACAAACTCCTCTCAGATGGGATTTTAAATGCCCATCTTTAGTTAGCTGTGCAAGAAAGACACAGGCAGGAGCAGGAGAGATGCTCTCAGCTCTCACTGACTGCAGCATTGGAAAGGGATCAAAGCATCAGTACCTCACTTGCCACAGCCACAGGTACCTGAAGTGACTTGACATCTTGCAGCCTCATGATGCTGTGAATTTGCCTGCTGAGGTTGGAGTTCTGATTGCATCCACATTCATCCTGCAGAAGCAGAGCATGAAGGTGAAATGGAAAGAACAGATCTGGTTTGTTAGTATTCCCCCAGAAGCCAACTACTTCTTGGAATAATAATAATGATAAGGATGATAATAAACATTCCAGTTGCATATCAGGAAAACGTGAAGTATTTACATGGAGTAGGGTACAAATAATTTATTCTGACTCACTAGAATATTAACCCAAGTTTAAGACAGGGGTGCAATGTCTTTGATTGTTATTTCCAATCTGGGTGGGGGAGGAGGTTTTGGTCTGTGCTACTCTTATTTCAACTCAACTATATCTGCATTCTCCTTCCTAATTTAATACCTAACTTCTTATTCCTCCTTGCAGTTCTGTATTTCTTCTGTGTGACTTGCTTTATTTTTTTGCTTTCTCTCTCTTTTATTCTTTTGGACTCCTCAATACTGGTTTTTTCCTCCCACCTTCTATTTTCCCTCAATTCCCTCAATCAGAAAATCCAGCTTCTTAAATCCATTTAAGCTTTTTCAGAGTTAAGCTTGTGACCTAACACTTCCCTTAGGATAACAGATTGAAATATTTACTTCCCGAAAGAGACCCCCAGTGTGAAGGAACCACAAGCTGGACCCACTTCAGCCATTTTCTTGGGAATACTGATTTTCTCTCTCACTTTACCAAGTGCTTTATTTTTAGGGCAGCTGGAGCATAAATAATCGATATCGCATAGATGAGGCTGAGTAGTGGAGACATAACAGTCTCCTGCCAGGTCCAACAGCCTATTGAGGCATAGTAGGGTAATTCAGAATTTATAGCAGCCCAATAAGTTTGCAACAACTTTACTGAACACCAGCAGCAACACTTTCCAGGGATATTTATTTGGCTGTCAGAGTATGAGAAATAGCTGACAAACAGCATTGTACTGAGTTTCCACACCATTGTCCCAAGAACTATATGCTAAGCTGCTGGAAACAATGATTTATCCCAGTGGGTTTGTTAATTATAAGATGAATGGGCAACCAGAGACATTAGCAAGAAAAGAAGAAACCAATGTGCAGTGACCATATGTTCCCGAAATTTATTCCCAATACTCTTAAGCTCTTCAGAGCAATACAACTTTGACTTTTTGAATCTTTACAGATGTTTTTCCAGTGTAAGGCCCAGTTAAACACATGCCTAACATCAAACTCAAAAGGAGTTTCACTGACATCCTTTGGGTTTCTCTTACATATACACCAAAGACTAGAGTTTCATTGACCTGGCAACTGCTGTAATGTGGGCAATTCCTTGGCAGCTAAGCAGCAGACATAATCAGATTATGGGATTATGTTCTCTGCTCTGTGTGTTTATGCACACAACTGTGAAGTCTCTCCCCTCAAAACCACCTGGGGCTTCACAGTTACAAGGCCCAGAGACTTGCAGTTCCATGGACTCCCACTGGCAACCGAAGTACCTTTTCTTCCATCAAGGCTTTTCCACTGAAAACTTCTACTTGCAATTAATGTTTTATTTTGGTGATGGCCTGCAGCATGCCTTCTGGCAGTACTTAAAAATGGTAGTGGAAAAGCAAGAGACATTTGTTTGGGGATGTATTTATGTCAGAGATTTAGGAAGAAGTAAAGATGTCAAAGAGATAATATCAATAATTACAGGATTGGCCTCTCTAAGTAATGCTCTGCAGAACTAAGAACTCAAAACCCAGCAACTCCTGAAGGTCTAGGCAAAAGGCTTAGTACATATATTTTGCTCTTTTGAGCACGGCAGCAATTTGTGGGAATACACAGAAGCTTAATAATTGAGACATTGACAGCAGTATTTTCCATCTGTTCAAAGCTGTCACACAGATACTATTTCCGCTCCTATCCATAGCTTAAGCAGGAGGATGTATGTGAAGGGATTCACAGGGAAGCAGATTCTCAGCGAATGTGTTCAAATCAGACATACACACGTAAGATGGGGTGTAACTCCACATACACATTAATGCTGTAGCTTTTGACACCTTGGCAAAATGACTGACAAAGGCAGTGGAAGAAATGACAAAGCAAAGTTGACACTCAAGCTTTAGCTCACCATTGCTCATTTTCTGCGTTTCTCATTTGTCGCTGGTAGTGTTTCACAGTACTGCCAAGGAGTGCACAAGGCAACTGTGGAGGGACATCCCAAATTTCCTGTTTGAAACATCGCTTGTACTGCACTCCTTTTAAAATAAAAAAAAAAAAATAATAAAAAAATATTAAGAAGTCTTCTACCAGGAGATGTCTGCACCAGCTGTATTCATCAGAGACCCCCAGCTGGGCTGGGGATTTTCTTGTAGTGTTTATTCTGCAAGCGTCTTAAGCAATGCAGTGTGGGATTGATTATCAGTGGTACAGGTGAGCAGGCTGCTGGGTAGATACCCCTATTTCTGAGGCATCAGTAAAATGTCTGACAAGTTTTAGATGATTTTGGAAACTGTAATATGCTGAGCTTTGTAGCTGCCTTGGGAATAGAAACTCTTGCTGCACCAGAGGGACATCTGTTTACATCCCCTTAGATCACATTGTGCATTTAACCTAGGATTACACAGAGGCAGGAGCACCTAGCGTTTGATGGCTTGGTGGTGCTTGCAGTGTGAACAGGAAAAGAGAGAGTTTTGCAAAGATCTCACCAGGGAAAAGAAGAAAGCACCTCCTAGTCCTTGACTCCATAGGAGGAAACTGAACGTAAAATAACAGGCGTTAGCTCCCATCAGATTACAAAGCTTGAAATAACACAGTAATTGCAGCTCTATTCCTGGCCCTTGCATTTGCCAGAAACTGTTAACTCCTCTCTGACAATGCAGCCAGGTGAATGGTCCCTGGTCCAAGGAACTCCAGGAAGAGGTGGGCAGGTGTTGGGGGTACGAGGTGAGCAGCCAGAGGACACCTCAGTGTGGGAATATCTCCAGTAGATTCCTCTTGGATTGGGGAAGATGCTCCCTCCTCTCTGCTGGCCCACAGGCAGCATCGGCTGGCAGTGAGGAGGGGGAGCACACAGCAAAGAGCCCACCTGCTGCTGTGGAAGAGGAATAGCAATCTCCTAAAACAGCCATAAAGAGGGAAAAGCAATTATAATTTGTGAAAGTGATAATAGATAACCAGGTAGCATTTAATAGCTCTACGAAGATATCTTGGAGGATATCTCCTATCGACATATCTCAGAATTTATTAAATTGCTTTCATTATTCAGATTCATTTTGAATTCAGTGCCAAGAGCTCCCTGGCACCGTGGAGGACTTTTAATATTTTGATTTGTCATTATCATCAGCTTGCCTTGGAAAGGAGCTTCAACTACACATGCAGAAGACAGTTTGCTTGCCACATATTTTGGTTTTAATAGAGACAAGAAGAAAAACAGAGGAGGGAAGAACTGGGACATTTTGTTCTTGTGGCTTTAAGATTCTTTGGAAAATCAGTTATTGATAGGTGGCCCTTTTTGGGAGATTCAACTATACTATGATGTTCAATTAAGCTTATTGAAAGAAGATTAAGAAACAATTTAATCACAGTTTGTGGGTACCTACATAGGAAGAACATTTAATACAAAAGGGTTCTTTATTCTAAAAGTCAAAGGTATTAAATTGCTGGAAGTTGAATTCAGAAAAGGTTAAATTAGAAATAAGATTATTTAAATTATTTATTTCTTTTTTAACAGCAAAACCACTTTACCATTGGAACAAGTGATCAAGAGTCCAGAAATCCTGGCTTTAAATCAAGATGAGGTGAACTGATATGCTCTACTCCCACAGTTGCTCAGGTTTAGGGTTAGGAAGTGTTCACCTGGGGGCTGGTTGTGCCTGCTGACTGTAGGTCCTTGGGGGCTGCCTCCTTTTTGCTGGGCTTAGCCCCCTGCAACAGGGTCCCTTGGAAAGTCAGGAGCTTGAGTTCATGCTCAGACTACTGTGTTGTGTCTGGGGTTAACTCCAGTAATGTGGGGATATATCCTGCCTGCGGTGCGGCTGAGCCTCCTGGCAGCAGTTGGCAGGTTGGGAGGTTTGATCTGTATCACACAATTTAATTACTCAAGTTCTGACAGACAGATGACACTTCCTAGCACTGCAGATTCAGGGACTATCCTGGCCAAAAACATTGACTGTAAGGAAATTAAGAAGAAAGTGCAAGACTGTTTTTGTCAAGGTCTAAAATCCAAAACTGATTCACATCCTGAGCTGTAAAAACATAAGATTTTTTCTCAAGCAGTACAAGCCACCTCACATCACAAAACCACTGGGAGCCATAAATCTCCTAAAGGAGAACTTGTTTTTCTCCTAATTTTCATGTTAGCTGCAGTCCAATGTCTTCCCATTACCAGCCTTGGCACCTTGGTGTAGTAGTGATGTAAACATCAATATTTTAAAGTTAAAGAAGAATACAAAATGAAATTGAATTCCAGCAAGTATAAAGGTAATACAAGAATGTCTTTCCTATTGAATCCTCTGCAGATTCCAGATAATGGATTATTCATAGACCTTCAGCTCATAATAAGGTGCCCTTTATTCTTGGAATTTGAAGCATTTCTCTCTTAAACTGCGATTATTTTCTGATTCCATTACCAAATTCAGTTTTGACATAGTGATACAATTTCCTTATCTCTCTCTTTAAAGTCACTGCATTAGACTGTGTCAATGAAAACAGCAACATTTTCCATGTGCGTTTTTTTCCATATGTGTGATGTTTATTAAAAAAAATAAATCTGAGTGATACTTCACAGCACAGCAAAATGGTGCGCAGTGGGAAATACAGCTGTACCTTGCAGGTGCTTCTAGCTGATATACAAAAAGCACTGCTTGGCCACACACCGCAATAGCTTTTAACAAACAGCAGAAGCATCTCTGACTCCCAGCAACAGCTACCTATCTGAAAAGACAGCAGAGATGAAGAATGTCTGTAACAGGTGCAAACTGGTAATTGATCCCAATTTGGCAAGGACCACCATCCCTCACCTGGCTCCAGTATGTACCATTCACTCACCCAGAGTCAAGTGCGTGTACAACTTCCTTGCTTCATGTGGCTTACTGGGGAGGAAAAACATCAGCTCTGGGGCTTTTGGTTTGCTTGATTGTTTCTGTTCAATACAAGGACCTATATCAGTTTGGCTGTTCCTTGGGAAACTCAGCTGTGAAAACTTTGTGCAATTCAGAAATCGCCTGCTAGCTGCTGAAATCTCTACTGCTATTTGGAAGGTAGGATTCATCTTTCACATAACAAGAAGTTCCCTAATCACTCTACCTGACACAATTCCCCATGTTTATATAGATGTTTTATTTCTATGGCACTTTTTTAGATATAAAACAAGGGAACAGATTGATTTCCTAGTTAGAACCATGCAAAAATGTCCCTAAGACTTTTCTATTTTTTTTTAATGGTATTTTAAAACCTCTACTGCACATTAGCCTATTCTTCTTTAAGAATTATCCTCCATCAAAAGAAGAGTGACTCAATGTTCTTACAGTCTTTTGCCCTCTCTAGCTTTTATGATCCTTTGCCACTAATGCTCAGACTTGCTTTAGACAAACTGAATTTTGAGGGCTCCATTTTCATCTGTGAAATGCATATTAATTCAACAGGGCATTAGATGACTTAATTAACATTGCAAAACTTTGATAGGCTCAGATGTTAGACCATCCAAAAGAACTGGCTGTAAAGTAGATAAAACCGTAGTCCACCATCAACTACTTCTTTTTAATGAATTTCAGGCCCTGATCACAGGCATGCAATGAGATTTGGCTGCCTTATTGTCTCCAACGCTACAATCCTCTGTGATGCTGATGACCCGTTAGTGTTATTTTGAGGAAAAAGCACAACTAAAGCGACTTTAGCACTGAATAACCACCTGTCTAATAATAAGGTCTACCAGAAGCAGCTCACTTTGCAGGGGAACTGTAGCACAAGATAATTGAACTTAATATAGTTATGTGCCTTTGCCTTTGATTTGGGCCACACAACTAAATTTGTGGTCAATTACAGGGCCTGTGAGAGTGAGCATGAAGGCATAATTAAAGGTTAGTAAGAGGTGGACACAAAAGGAATAGCTCTGAAATTCAAGTCAGCTAATTCACTCTGGTTGCAGGGACATAAACAAGTGTTCAGCTATGCAGAGTTCAAAAGGCCATGTGTGCAGGTAGCCCCAGCTTTTCATTGCCAGAGATCTCCAGGGCAGCAGAGGAACATCCGTTTCTTGAAATGGATGAAAGAAACATTTTTGGAATGACTAAGGACTTTTTTTTTTTTTTTTACATTAGAAATTACACTTTCAAATAAAGAAAACTCTTTTCTGTGTTTCCAGCCACTCAGCAGTCAAGGCGTAGAGCTCCAACCAAGGTCAACATGGCTCATAGCCCTTTTGATCCTCAGAAAAAAGCCCCAGTGGTGGTACATTAATGTACAGCCCTCTGCATAAGAAGGATGCATCATTTGTAGCTCAAATTAATGAAGTGAGATTTAGTAAGTCAGAGCTATATTTGATTTCATGTTACTCTATCTTTTCCAATGTACTTACAGCACAACCTTAGATATGTCGCCTCTCCTCCTCATTATTTAAATTCCCTACCCGTAAAATGAGAATAATAATATTTAAACACCTCCAAGGAGTGCCACAAACCTCATTTGTTAGTGTACATTTAGAGACATCCATATGGAAGTTGTTACAGAAATTACAAAGTGCTGTAAGAAATCTTTCCCCCAAAAGCTGGTTTTCAGGATTTTGTTATTCACTGTAACCTAATAAAACACAGCTCTGAAAGAAACCAGGGTAAGCTCTGTATGCAACACTGAATGCTTCTAAAATGGTTGCAGTCCATAAGGATAAATCAAGGCACATCGAGAATTCATGAATCCACACCTGCTTGGAGTGTGCAGAAGTACCGAATTCAGGAGAGATATATTCCTGTTCTGGGATGATTGCTTGTTGTGATAAGAATGCAGAGAAAGCAATATACAACCCAAATGATTAAATGCAAGCAGCAAAAGTCCACTGTAAAAGCAGCAGTCCAGAGTGTGTGTCAAAAGTGAATTATGAAAATAGCCTCGTACATCCATGGCAATTTCACAGAGCCACTCTGATAACAATGAACACAACAGTGTGCAGTAGGAACAACAATGACCAGAATTATTTCAAGCAATATATTTTTTAAGGACAGTCACTTTAGTTCTCTCTTTGCATCTGTAAATGGCAGCTGAATTAATGATAAATATGACTTGAGCAACAAAAGATTCTGCATTATAATCTATTATCTGCCCTCTTCCTGCCTGGAAGTGGTATGAAGATATTCCTTACAACTGAACTGAAGATGATCTTGTACCGAGTGAACCATAGTTTGCACAGATAAACTAAGAGGCTGGGGAAGAACAAAATGCCTCTCAGATCACTTGGCGATTGCTTGCAAGGTTGTAGGGATCTGTGTAGCTTTATATTTCACTGTAATGCAATTTCCCTGCTGGGATCTCAAAGCACTTCACAAACATTAATGCTAAGATTCACACATGGTTATTTCCTTGCATGGGAGATTTCCAGGGCTGAGTTTTGCTGCTGTTATTAAGGCAGAGAAGGGCTAGAGTGCTACTGAGGGACCTTGTATAAAAAGACACCACTTTGTATGAGTGAGGGTAGACATGCTCAGGCTTCAGTGAGACTGTCTAAGTGTGCAGCTGTACAAAAGGAGAGTCAGACACTGAGCAAATTCAATTTTCAAAAGAAAAAAATGCTTCTATGGATGAGCTATGTCACCTTCATCAAACTGACTGTTACGAAGCAGAGGACTGGGCGTGGAAAAGCAGCAGCCTCAGAGTAAAAGGAGGTATCTTAGCCATGGGGGATTATTATTTGCTTGATACTGGGAGGTGGATGAAGGGCAGTAGAGGCTGCTCAGGCTTCCCTGGCCCTTTGCTGGGAGGTATGAACGGTGGAGCAACATCCTTCCCATCACTCCATCCACTCACTAACACTATATACATGAGGCAGGCAGACACTCAGTGCCTCTAGCTTATCTCAGGCAGTCCTATATTCCTCTTTCTCCCACCGGCTTCATTATAGAAGTTCGT